GATACAAACTTTTAGTACACAGTAGTTCCACAGTCAGTACTTTTCTCGTCACTTTAAACTTAACAACGTTTATAATACATGCTATAAATCACAGCGATTCACAATCTCGATAATTTCGCTCTCGACGAGTGCAAAACACAAGCTTTATGGCTCGCTAGCTCGAAACTAACAGAATCATAAATTACACGGAGCTCAAAGTAACTACTGCTCTCTCTCTTCATTCATTCCTGCTGGCTTTCTCTGCCAGGCTTATATACTTACGAAGTACACTCAGACTTCCCCGATCATTCGAGAAACTCATCACGCACGCCACCAGCAACACGTGACTTCCGCTGTCATAACACTATAGATACTCATATTTGTAAATCATGAAGTAGACTATACATGACAAATGTAAAGCAACTTCTCTAAACTTGATAGAAAAAAAATGTAGACTTTAAACTGTGTGTCATGCTGCACAAGACAATGCTTGATTAACCTTTAGAAAACTATTTGACAAAACACAAAACAATTTTACTATATTTAGTTGAACCAAAATTATTTTCTATAAGGTTTAATAAATCTAACTTAGTGTACAGATATGATAAATATCTATAGTTTTAATGTTTTGTGAAAAACAGGATTTATACAGATTGTAAACCAATATATGAATATTCATGAAGAATGCCATACAAACAGTCAACCTGTATTCAATGAGATATCAAATTTTAAGTAATGAAACACTATTTTTTTAATTTCAATGAAAATATAAAGTTGACCATAATGATAAAACTAATGTTAAGAACTAACTGGATTGAAATAGTAGCTTTTTTTCATCATATGATATATACAATATATATATATATAGTTTGAATGTTTTATTTATAAAGCAACACAAAACTGTCTTTTTCAGGACTGAAATATATTGTTAGCTTGCATATCTAGAGTATGATGCAACAAGAGACCTCTAAATAGATTCATGATATACTATTAATCAAAATGTAAAACACAAGAATGTTCAATATGACATAATCATATGATGAAACTGTTGATGTACTACACCCTATGGTGGTTTGCTTGTAAATAATCTGCTACACATAATAGATAATCTCATCATCCTACACTTTGATCCCTCCTTTTTCGACCCTAGCAACACGCATTCTGGTGACACACAACAGAACTATTCAACCTTAGCAAAACACCATCTGTTGCTACTCGTGGAAAATATGGCGACCTGTTATCTGGGGCAGATAATCAGCACGTTCATCTCAAATGCCGGGTTAACTATTTGCATTTGCCACCCCGAATTTTGAAATGATAAACTATGGTGAAGGCAGATAGTTAATGCCACCACCGTCCAATCTTTTGCTACTTTTTACCAAAGAAAAGTGGGAGCGAATGTAACATTAAAACACTCCCACAGCTGAAAGGGCATGATAGAAGATTGTTTTCGGTTCTGCAACATGCAGATTGTGAGTTGAGTGCCATGACTATCACGCCATGCCAGACCCTTTTGTTAAATGTATAATTTATTATTAATATTCCTAATTACAATGGTATTGGTGGTTTCTTAGAAAGTTAGTTGTAGCATGATGCATTTTTACCAATGCAAAGTTAAAGTTAAATGAGAACATTTCACCATTTGCTAGTATTATCACATCAAAACAATAGAAATTAAACAATGAAAGAACTTTGAGTGGCCCTTAAGTTCTTAATATTTAACTTTCACATGTTTAATAGATTAAGAAAAATTCAAAACCTTTGACATTCGCTAGTATTTAAACATTTAAACTCTAAAAATTGAGTCTAAACTATTACCACACCTACTATGAACGGGATTAGGTTCAATAATTAGAAAATTATTTATTACAAGATGGCTAATCACAGGTCGT